AGTTCCGTGGGGGGTTTTGTTTTTTTCTTTACCGTTCCCACATACATTAATGTAACGTTTAGACTAACTCGGGTGTACAATCACAATCGGGGATGGTGTCTACGGGTCGTTTAGAGACCTCGGCGGTGCAACACACATTGGTAATCGGTTTAGACAGTTAATCCATTGGGGGGGGGGGGTGAATAGTACGACTTAGAGAGGACCACGTGTAACACAAGAACAATGGTTATAGACGCCAGTCTCCCCGACCCTCCCCGAGGACATAAAAGAGATTGGCGTCCCCACGGGTGGTCAGTCGCGTCCTAAGGGCAGACTTAAGCGCACTATAACACAACACAACAAGTATTTCATTACACCTGTAGATGTGCATAAGACAAAATAGCAATTACAGGAATTGTAATCCATGAAGACACGTACAATATTCAAGAAGAAGCTTAGTAATCGTATACACATACCGTTGTGGTTCATTGGCTTGAACGGAAAACCGCTGGACATACACACACACACACACAATCACCAACACCCCCCGTCAGGCCATGACCACACACGACACGAGCGCAGTACCCACAGCGCAGCCTAACCTCACTCTACACTACCGGCAGCCTCGTTTCTCCCGGCCCGCATGCCATGGAGAGAGAGAGAGGGCCACACTCCACCTACACTCCATAAAAAAAACAAAAGAACAAGAGCCACTTAATTCCATCGAGCAGTAGCACAGAGTAGACGTTACGACCACGACAACGACACCGCTCCCCAGCCCACAACCCGACGACACACACGCGCAGCGCCAAAGTTCTCTGACCCTCTCAGGGAGAGGGCCCCGGAGACGAGCGGCCCCCACACGTGTACATTGTCTAATGTACCTTATGATTAAATCTCAAAGCACTTCAAAATAAGTACTCTCAACACTTAAAGTATCGCGTTACCTAACAACTCAAACATTATAAACAATTCAAACAAAGGCACCCTTGGTGGAAGGCAACGTGACACAACCGATAATGAACGTGGGGGACAACATAAGGCTGGCGCCCTGACCGGTACACTAGCACCCTTAGCCTACCACGTGCCGCCGGCAGTCCGGCCAGAGCTGCAAGCCGGACCGTGCCGGTACATTGAACAAGAATTAACCGGGTAAAAACGATACGTACGGGGGAGAGCAGAAACCTGACCATCCTAGAGCCGTCAGACCGTTGAAATTTCATCGAGAACCCAGCGAGCTTTCTAACCCGTGTGGACTAGATCATTGTCTGCTCTAGTCGTGAAACTTTGTCCCGACTTTGAGTCTCCCCTAATACCCTACGACGTTACTAGACAAACCACAAAGCCGGTTCTGAGACTCTTGTCCGAGACATATATATAGACTCTGCGTACGCACAGTCACCTGCCCTCAGATAACTTACTTCTTGTCCTCGTATATTATTCCCCTGGACCAAGTGTGAAGCTGCTACTAACCCTCGTCACACCTAGTACAGGTGTGGATTATAAGTTAAACACTTTGGCTGTCGCTACAGAATGGTTGCGCAGACCAATGAGGTGCGTGGCAAATGTACATCTAAACCGGCACCCACATTCGCGGCGGTGTAACAACAGCAGCTGCGTGGTCTGAAACCTTAGTTGGAGGCAACCCAAAAATCCCTAACCCCATGTCCCTCTTCTACACTCCCAAACACAGACGTACATCGGAGAACACTCAAAGACGGTACTGGGCGCGTACAACTATCATCTCTTCTATAGTCTTATCTCTAACAACGCATTATCCCACTCAGAGAGAAACTTTAGTCAGCGCGCCATGACACCAAGATTGTCTTGCACTAAGCACACAACTCTAAACATCCTTAGACGGGTCTCACAACGACAGCCACGCGTGAGGTTTAGATTATTTCCCTGTCTCAATCCAAATTGAACTGTATAAAATAAAAAGGCACATTTGTCTTGTAATAAATCAAAAAGGGCGACCTGGAGCCAATCCTGCAATTTACCCAAAAGTGAAAGAGTTGACATGCTGAAAACCCAACTCCTGCAGGGGGGTCTGGGGGGATTCTCCCCAAGGAGATTTTTTGACATACTAACATAAAATACACATTCTGGTACTAAAATGAATAAATCTATTACTACACGACATATTTAAAAAAATGAATGCCATTTTAGTTTTTTGTTACTTTGTTCTGAAAGCTGAACCTGCTGCTCCTCACAGAGAGGAGAGGGAAGAGGCTGTGTGAATTACTTTACATTGTGGATAAGGGTGGATAGCCCCCATTGTTCTGTGTGTCAAAATGAAAGACAGCCCACACACCTATCAATCATCAAACCGTGGGGTCTTACTTCATTACGTGTTGATTTCTATCAACACGTAATGTTGTATCGATGTATAGAGATGTACTACAGCAAAAGTATTCTCCGTCAGGACTTCCTGCAACAACACCACGCCGTTATCGTGATTCTGATTGGCCAGAAGACATTATCAAAGATGTTCTATTGAGAAGACGATCACTACGTGACAAAAGTTTTCAAAACCGTTTCTAGTCTTCGGTATTTCCAGACAAGTGGCTGCTGAAATCAATCTTACTAACTGCTGCCTGTGCAATTTACTCTGCGCGAGTTGGCGGACTTTATTTTGCTTACTTTAACATCATTTTTCATGGTGGGGCTAAGCCATTTCTTGGTATGGCTGTGAAAGTTAGCATTATATGTCCTCTTTAATAGAATAACATTGTGTTTAGTTTCTTCAAGTATGGCTTTTTCAATCAGGTTATGTAAAGATGACTCCCATCACCTGATTCATTAATCCCATCCCATCCATAAAGGTATATAAACGCGTTTTTATTTCAATAACAGATATTTGTTTCAATACCTTTACAGGGCTGGGTCTCGAACACTTGATGTGGGCAGCTTCCCTGGTTCTCCATGACCTGAATGATCACGGCTCTAGAGCGAGCTTGGCGTCCGGTGGTCTCGAAACTCCGTCCCTCCAGGCAGGTCAGCTGGCATGAGCTCCAAGACGACCACACGGTCAAATGGCAGTCTCCTGAGGGCAGAAAGAGTCAGAAAAACATCACTGATAGGCACAAATCTATCAGTAACACTTATTTTTTCCAGATACTTGAGGCTGGTTTATATTATCTTGCAAAATGTATTTCGGAGAACTTTGTATTGGCTCCCCTGCTAGCTCTAGGAACATTTCAAAGAGATCAGAAACAACTTCTGCGGCTCATAATGTACCGAATTCACAAAAACAAATTACTCAGACAGCCCAGCGGGAATTCAGAAGTAATAGACCAACCAGAGAAATACAATACAAGCTATACCTCTGAGCCGAAATACAATAGCAACACCCAATATGGAAAACGTGTCTTTTAGGAAAAGAAAATGTGTTTTTAGCGCATTTAGAGTATTCTGTGGGTCAATAAATAAGTTGTCTATCAGTTTCTATCTCGTAGTTCAAGCATTAATATCCCATGTAATCCTATAAGGGTCAGCTTGTAGTGATAACATCACCCCCTCAGCCAGGAGAACCCTCTGATTCTCTGCCCTGAAAGCCTATTAGTGAGCCACGCATATCATTATCCTTCATCTTTATATGGATCCACTCAATCAGCCCATCCCTCATGCTGCTACGCCTGTGGAAGCATGCTGTGGCTGAAGCTGCAGCACACAGCCACACACACACTGTACATCACATTCATGTTGACAACCCCTCCCCCCCGGCCCCCGCGCTGCGTCTACCTCCTTCACGCTCGACAGACATACGGACACCAATACACACACACTTCTGCTGCGGCCATCAAACACTTCTGTGCCGAGCCAAGGCTCACAGCAGAGGCGGCTGAAATGATGAATCGCGGCGTGGATCAGAGGAGAGCGAGAGGCGAAAGCAAGCACTGCAAGATGTTGTCTGTTCACAGAAAAACTAACAAGAGCCATGACAAAGGACATCAGAGTTGTCCTTTCATCAGATGGAAATGATTCTCTTTTTTAAAAATGGGTATATTCTGTTACCCTTGTAGCTGGTTTGCACAACAACTAAGTAGGCCTACAGACAATAAAGCTTCATTACACGTTTTCAGTGTGGACACCAAGGCAGTGATAAGTGAAGCAGGTTATTGCTGTCACCTCTGTTGCCTAAAAGTGAATGAAAGGAACAATACTACAAAGGGCATCATGGGATGTTAGTCGTGATCTACTAGCTTCTAGGTGCTGTGGTGATTTTTATAACGATACAATTAAAGACCATCTTAATGCTTTATGCCATAGTTCTATAAATAGAACTGGAGGGAACTTTGGGATGTTAGCCTTTGCAGATCATTTTTGTGCACAAAAACATACAACACAATACAGGAAAGGGAAAAGACAAAAAACAGCCTCTATGGCTTGATCTGGTGCATTTTTATGATGTTCATGTGTGAATTGTTGCTTCTTAAGTAAATGAATACAAATAAAAAAATAAAAGGTATTTTAAAGCAGTTTGATTTAAATGTTTCAATCCATTTTTACATTTCCTAAAGAGGATTTTTTTCTGACAAGCGGTGACGTGATATACCTGAATACTTTTTTCTCATTACAATGACTCTATTTTTAAGGTACAGCGTGCATGCACAGTGCCCGCAGCACTCTGCCAGCACTTTTATCATTATATTTCATTGAAAAAAGCATTCTATGTGTTTGATGTGTACCGCAGACAGCCGCAGTCGCACTAAAATCTGCAGTGAAACAATAAAGACATTCTTCTGACACTAATCGCCAGCAGTGGCAGCCTGTGGCTGTAGGCTACTGCTGGACAGATTTAAGCACATGAACATGCAGGGCCTTTTATTTAAGATTTATTTGTTGTCTCTGTTTAATTAGCATCTGATTTACTCAGTAATTATTGTCTGGGACATGCCATCATAAATAATAAGGTTTAGTGGTGTATTTGGTCTAAGATGAAATGCTGTGTGATGCACCTATGACAGACAAACTCATTTGTCCTCATTGCAACAGCAGAACATAATAGTACACTAAAATAAATAAAGACAAAAAGAAACAGAGCACTGTGTGTTAGGAATATAACACAAAGAATAATATTGAAGCAAGCACATTGTACTACTTTAAATTCGGAGAATGTTTCGGTGTTTTCAACCCACACATTGCTTTAATTTTTCATGCATTTTTGCTTAACTATAGGTCATAACACATCTACTGCAGCTACCATGCCACACAGACATATAATAAGGCATGACCGATAGCCAATTACAGCTTGTTGTTATTGGCAAATTAAATGAGCAGCTTTACAAATATATTTATTTAATGAGGCAAATTTTCCTATTTTAAGATGATGGTTCCCTAGATTTCCTTTTGTGGGGGCTATTGGATATTGTCTTACTGTCATTTTGCTGGTCTCAAATTAGGTTGTCTTAAACTGTTATGAGGTTCATTACTTTAGCAGCTGGTAAGGGACAACACATGCAGCTCATCAGTTGCATAAAGCCCAACCTTGTGCTTCCAGTATTTCCTGGGTGCCAACCCTGATTTTGCTGCCAGCCCTCAGGCACTCTTACGCTTCATAAGGATGCACTGCGATTATTTTCTAAGAGCATCATTCCAAATTAATCAATCATTGTGATTCAAAAGGGTAAATTGGGGTAAGCTGGCATATTTTTTAAACATGTTTAATTATCTCACATTTTAATTAAGTATTAAGTAAAAAGTTCTTAGTTTAACTAGTTTTATTATGTTGTTGCATTTGTATTACTGCCATTCGAAAAATCCTTGCTTTAGCACGGGCATACAACCTCTTGGAGTGCAGAAATCTCATTGCTGTGAATGATTTTAGTTAGCAACACTGTTGTGTAAGAAACCATTAGATCTTTCAAATGATTGATTGTAAAAAATGTCAGTATTGACTTTTGTAGCATTGATGCTCTTAGGCACTGCATTAATGTCAACTTTATTCTATCCAAGTGGTCATTATGTCCTTTTTAAGTTGTTACTGGACCTGATCGGCCAGATCATGTTGAGCTAAAAGGTTCATTAGTTAATCTATTACATTTATTGATTTTCACAAAATTATTTATCCGTGGAAATGTCAACCGATTGGCAGAGGAGACAGTGTATCGGCAGATTCCAGTAAATTAGGTTTTCTTTTCATGAACAAGATTATTGATTATGAAGCAAGTGACCAAGGCCGAATAATTATTGCCATTACATAAATAACGTGTACTGTAGTAGTTTTGGTCTATTGGAGCCAATTATAACATACTGTATGGTAAATGCAACTAGATAAATAATAACACCTTATATAGTGAATGTTAATACATTTGAAAAGCAAATAATTAGAGAGCAGCTTTACCTGGGCAGGGCACGAAGCAGGGCTGCTCCATCTCCTGTTGGATCCGCTGCCTCAGCTCGTCTCCACAGAGCTCCTGGTCCACTGGCTGGGGGGGGGACTCGGGCCAGCTGCCCCGGTGGACCACACATGACAGGCTCCTTTTCCGAATCCCCTCGCCACACTCTGCATCCTGTGAGGACACACACACAAATTGGTCTTTGTAAGATTTATCAAGAGATGTTTCCTCACAATATATTGAGGAAAAGGTCTTGACAGAAGCATCTACAGTATGTGACTCTGCTGGATACTCACTCCCTATGTTCATTCTATACATATATTTATGTAAATGGAATATTGTTTTCAATTTGTATATACTAAAGGTGCACTGTGGACTTCAAGTCTTAACTACCAAGACACATTTTGTGTTATTTCCAAATGTCTAAAACAGTTCTGAATGCATTTCCTTCATGAAACATTTGCAAAGGCAATTTCTTTGACAATTAAAACAAATATTGATTGTATTAATACGTATTTAATTTCCCTTCATTCCTTTATACTAAACTAATGTTTACACATTTCACAGAGTACCTTTAATTAATATGGCAGTTCATATAGATGTTATTTAAACGTTTAAAAAAGAGATGGAAAGAAAAATGGACTGCTAACCAAAACAACATTTCTTTTTTGTAATGTCACATCAAGGTTAGACTTAGTAACCTCCAATCAAGCAAAGCATTCACAGCGCCGATCGAATACCTCCACAGTGCATGTGGACCAGTCACTAAGCAGCCACGTGTAGCAAGGCCTTATGGGACACGGTTGAGTCTGGGTGACCTGGTTTGGACACGGCCGACCCTCCTCATGAGCCTCCTGCAGGATTCTCCTGGTGCGCACCGACTGACCTGCACAACAACAAAGCATATACACTGTTGGGTAACAACTGAGAAAGTATATTTATATGTAAATAACTCCAATGTTCAAGCCCTACATCCTTTTTATCTATGATTCTTAAACAACATTAAGTGCCACTTTTATTATTATGACAAACTATTTCAATAAAGAACAAAACACTGTGGGATTCATAGGAGTGGAGACCATGTGATTGGTGGTGAGAGAAATAAATGCATCACTGCACAAACAAAAGGCCCCATAAAATAACTGTTCAAAACAAGTGGATGGAATGAATGATGATTTATTTAGGAGTGGAAAGACGCTGCGCCTTCTCTTTAGCCCATAATATGTTTTCCTCATGACAAGCACCATACATCTGTGTCACCGTGCCACTTATGGTTTCTACAAAAAAAAGGTGTTTGGTTCAAGTGAGTCATTTATAATGGATGAGAGGGAAGTTTGGTAAATTGCAACAGTAAGTACTGGCTGGAGTAGGTTTACTATGTTGTAACAGCTCAATGTGTGGGCCCTCTGAGGCTTAGTAAAGGAATGGCCTGGTCTCCATCAGCCTTCCAGTAAAGACAGAAGCTGTGTGTGTGTGTTCGTGTTATGCCTGGGGAGATGCTGAGCTCCATGGGCCCCAGGCAGACGTGAAAAAAAGGACGTTCAGCCCCGCCATCTCAAAAAATCAAACCAAAACATTAGCACTCCCGCGGGATCCTGACAGAACACGATCCTTGAGTCGTCTGACACAGATACGACGCAAATCCCTCATCAAGGCTGACAGATTTGTTTCACAATGTGTGAAAATGAACACAGAGTGTGGCAGAAACAGAGCAACAGTGACAGATCGAAGGGAGACAGACAGACAGAGTATTAAATCCCCAGTTGGAAGCGAATGTAAGTGTGAGTTTATTGGAATGAGGGGTTAACTGCGTGGGGGGACGAAGAGCCAACTTAAAATTAATGAATTAAGAAGATGCTGTTGAGTCTCTCTAATTAAGAGAATAACACGTTTTTGGTCCGGGGGATTGGCTTTGGGAGACCCCAGACAACAATGTATGCATCCCGGTTAAATAATTAACTTTTGCATTTTGAATGAGGTTATAACATGGCTTTCTCAAAGAGATGATGAGCATTCTACAGGTTTTTTGATTACTAATTGCATTTTTGAAATCATCCTAAGGAAGGGTATATATTTGATTTAGGAGCAGTGAATCATTTATGACGTCCCTAAAGGTGACCTGTATAAAATGTAATTTAAATCAACCTGCCGTTCTTAAAAATCCAACCTCATGAAGTAAAGTCGTTTACAAAAATGAGCATTGTATAGAATTAAGTGGGAATATTAATATATATTATTGAAGAAAGGAAAAACTCAGCACACTGTTTCCCTGTATAATAAGGCGGTGGATTACACATACTCGTAAATATTTTAATGCATTTAAATGTATTCATGCTGAATTAACATCTTGGCATGTGCCCGAAAAGAAGGAATAATGATGCCCCGCACATGTGGTCATCTTTGTTTATCAGGTTTGGGTTCACGGTGTTTGAATTAAATTTATTTTCTCGCATGTTTACCTTGGTTACCGCAGGTGTGGGAACATTCAGCCCACGGCGACCATTCAGAGAGTAAACAGCTGACAGGACAGTCCACGACGCAGCTCTCCATCAGCCTCGTCTTGTTGATCAGACCAAACTGTGGAAAACAACAAGAGATTGAGGAGGGCCGACTAATTATTTCCACTAACAAGAGAGACTGACTACCCAGATTTGCATAATTTAAATAGGCTGCAGTTCATTTCAGGGCGGGGAAGATGAGGCAATTAAACTATTTTACCATTAACCTTGCTTTCAAATGTTATTGAGCTACATTATTTGAACTTTTATGAGAGGGAATCGTGCTGTTTAAGGACATTATACCTAACACAGGTGACAATATCACATCCTTCATAGCCATAACACTGGGTATACCAGAAGTTAACTGCAGGTTGTGCCACAAGACAGATAAACGGTTTGCAACCAACCATTACAAATAGTGCAGCAACTACTGTATTGAATAGACAGTAACTTGCAGCATCTTTAAGAGTTGTATCTATCTTTGCATTAATAAATCTAGGCAATACAATTTAATAACATTTGAGAATAAAGATGTTGATGAGATTAGATACAACATTCTCACATAAACAAATTGGTCAACTGGGCTTTCAATTATGTATAAGCCAGTGGAAACAAGATGAAGTGTTGTGCTGCAGCACCAATCAATAGTTCACACTCTCCAAACAAAGTACAATACAATATTCCAATTGTTCTTGTTAGGTGGCTCTATGTCATTTGGCGCACTCTATTTCCTGTCCCCGTCGGCATTGGTTAAGAGTTCAAATACATGGTATATGAAAAGAAAAGAAACATTAGAGTAACAATGTCTGCTTATACCTCCATGTCTATATCCATCGCCAATAAAAACAAATATGAAAACTGGCCCTATTTAGATTTTTTCGGTTTCCCTTTCCTGCAGTGTGGTTTTTGTAATGGTCTTCAAAGGCTGAAATCCCAAGGTTTTCTCACACACTCCCCCGCCTGCCTGAATAGCTCCATTGGACTCCTTTGTTTACGTCTGCAACATAGTGATTATGTTGGCTAGCGCTCCAACACATGGTATGTGATAGGCTAAGGGGCAGGACATCACTGAGCGGTTGACAAATCACAACAGAGCCGGCCAGCTAACCAATCAGAGCCGGCTGGGCTCTGGTTTCAGACAGAGGGTGAAAAGAGCTGCAGCACAGGCAGTATGAGAACAACTAAATGATGAACTTTTTGAACATTAAAGCAAGTAAACATTTCACAATAGGGGCATACAAATTAAAATATGAACCTGGAAATTTGCATAATAGGGCCCCTTAAAACTAACAGGCCCTGACCAGACAAAGGAACATTTCAGTCAGGGGTCACCTTTATGGCTTTTGTTTTTAAAATGACTGTGAAGATGCAATTTTTGCTGCTGAGCACCTCACATGTTTCAGCTTTATTCACCTTGCATATTCGCAGAAGTACCCTGACACATTGAGATGCAAAATACAATTGTGTTAAAGCGCAACTGTTGCTGGATACCCGGGAGATATATTGCTTTACCAACTGTAGAAACCACAATCCAAACAGAACACAGCAGCCTGGAGGCAAATTAGTGAGGTATTTCTCGTAATTTGTTTATATTTATTTAAACTATACTAGACAATTAAGTAATGTACAGAAAATGGTTGGGGTTACGCTAATGTTAACACTCATTTGCTGTTTGCCCAGCAAGAACAACAACAAAAAAGATGCAGAAAACTGGGCTTTTTTAACAACATGCTTTCTGTTGACTGCAGAATGCATTATGTAAATGATGTGTGACTACACAGTGATTACCTGCTCGCACTTCTTCAACTCCACAATCTTGCCATCGCTGCGAATACAGTCCAGGAGACGTAAACGAAAACCCTGACCACAGATGGCGTTTTCACCTAGCTGGCAAGTGCTCCAGTCTGCAACACACACGCGCACGTACGCACGTACGTACACACACACACACACACACACACACACACACACACACACACACACACACACACACACACACACACACACACACACACACTCTCTATCTCTCTCACACACAGACACATACACAGACACACACACACACAAACACAGACACACACACTCTCAAACACACACACACACACACACACACACACTCTCACTCTCAAACACACACACTCTCTCTCTCTCTCTCTCTCTCTCCACACACACACACACACACACACACACACACACACACACACACACACACACACACACACACACACACACACGATCACTGTCAGTTCGAACAGGCAACAATGTGCTCAATTCTATAGTTTGGGAATCTTTACGTGGCCAAGCACAAATAGCTTGCTTCATTCAGTTCAATACTTTGGCATTGAGATTCAAAATTCTATACTGTCTTCCTGTTCCAACTCATCCCCTTATATCCCACCTGAGACTCTGTAGTCGTAGGAGAAGCAGCTGCTGTTGAGGAGGCAGGGATCGGTCTGGACCAGCTCTGGACAGGCTGAGCTTTCAGAGGCGGGAAGGCGGAGGACTTGTCTGCTCCGGTTCCGCAATGCTCCTTGGTCACATTGCTGCATCAACAAAAGAAGCATGTCACTGTCAAGGACACATTACATTACATGTAACTTGTTAGACGCTTTTATCCAAAGCGACTCACATACTCAATACTGTGGACAATCCCCACAGGAGCAATTTGGGGTGAAGTGTCTTGCCCAGGGACACAACGACATGCTGACTGCAGTGGGGTTTGAACCTGTGACCCCCTGATCCCACCACCAAGGCTCGATCCACTGCGCCACACGCCTCCTGGTATATGGTACCACATGGTATATTTTCAGAGATGAGTGGGACGGGATGAATTAAAGGCGTCCTTCAGCAGGCCAAAGAAACCAGAAGCCATCTCCTGCATTTATATATATATGGATAATAATGCTTTCAGTTGAGGCAACTTAAAGTAGGGGTTAGGAATGAATGCTTCTTTGTGCAATAGTTTAGATGTTTGAACACTAAATGTAGACTTGAAGGAGTGCAACAAATAGGTTATAGTTATTATTTATAAGGATTTATTTTTATGTGAAAAATGTACGAGTTCTAACATAATGAGAAAATAAATTGCCTTTTTAACAGCAGTAATATTAAACAGCCAATGTGGCTAGGTGCAAATAGCATTGTTCACTACAGTCACCCGGGTGCAAATCGCATCTGCCTGAATAAAATACTGTTATTCTGTAATCAGTTTTTTGGGGAAATACAATTGAGTATGATTTTTCCACAAAACTCAAAACAACAGAGTGCCATTTGAAGCCATGATACATTCAATCAAATCTAATATCAGAACAATAGCCTACAGTACTTACATAATTTGCTCTTTGAAAATGCAACATGGATTTTGGAACGAGGGGGTTAGTAGGATGGAATGGATTTCACCATTGGTTATAATAAAAAACGTTTCTTTCTTTTTTTGGACAGCAGAAGTGTAGTAGCTAAATATGGTCACATATTGTATTTTCAAATGTTCTTTTGTTGAAGATGTAATTAACACATGACCTGAAGTGGTTGCTTTTTCACAATTTTTTTCTTGTTTTGGAGAAGCTATTTCAATTATATAAAAGTACCGTGATTGTCATCTTAATGCGTATCCATGACCGACTTGAGCTCTGTTACAAACTACGATTTGCTTTTATGTAAATGTCAAGAGGGTTGATTTTTTGTCTGGAATGATTTTTTAAATGTCACTGAATAATTGATATGGGTAAAGTGAAAATATAAAAAAAAGAAGTGTGTGATACGCACATGAGATGAAACTCATTATGCTTTTAAAGCCATGGAGATTTCTTACTAGAAGATGTGTTTTGAGTTTAACCATTTTAAAATAAATGTTCCTTATATCTCAATCGAGTGATATCAATACTTCTATACTACAATTACAATTTCTTAATGAATGCTCTCCTTTCAAGCCATCCTACCCACAATTTGAGCCTATTCTGCTATGAAATAACTTAAGGCAATTACATGCCCTCAAAGTCTGTATAGCAAGACATTTATGCTAAATTCCAATTTCAATAGTAAAACCCCATTATGCGCTTTTACCATCTTAACCTCATCATCCCAACCTTGTTCCAGAATAATTTATAATCTGCTCTTGAAAATCCACACTCTTGATATGACACATTATCTACTATGATGTACATCCTAGAGATAGTATCCTATAAATATGATCAAGTATCTCCGCGTTTTGAAACTCCTGTTATATTTTAGATATTTTAAAATACCTTAGTTTCTGTGTAATTCTTTTTAAATAAGGTGTTATTACTTTTATGGGAAACTCCACAGTGTGCACATTTACTGACAGAAATCTGTATCAATATCCTCTTATATCACCCACCTGAGGCCTTTGAAAGAACTGGGACACTTGTTTGAATGGGATTCAACATAACTTGACTTGGGAATAAGCTAACTGCTGCCTACAGTGTTGATAAAGGCTGTCATTTCTGTCTGAATGATCCTGCAGAGAAGGCAACCTGGCAGATACCTGCATTTACTGCAATATTGACTTGTATGCAGGGCTGTTGAAGGCTGATGAAGAGGGATAATTATTAAAATATTAATTGAGTGCCACATTTACCTAACATCTACAAGGGACATGCAATGCAAATCACCCACAACAGTGGAAATCTGTGAAGAGAGAAGCTAATAATGTGTGAAAATGTGTGGAGGAACTGTCAGCTCTGAGGAAAGAAGAAAGATTCCTCTGATAAATCTCTCTGCGTTGAGCTGTATTTGCCCCTCTGCTCCTGATGCTTCACACCATGCACCTCCATCACTGTCACCTCCTAATGAGGGGCCTCTGTGTGAGGCTCATGAATCAGCTGCAGTCGTTGAGCCCCTAATGTTTTCACACCAACTGTCACACAGCCTTGCACATGCCTTTGTATGCAACAAACAGGAGATCCTACAATCGGAATGCTTAAAGAGCCTGTGACACGAGTTTCCCCCATCATCCAAACCCATCAATTTGAGTAAATATTGTCCCCTTGAAAACCATTACTGAACTGATTTTGGATATTTGTACTTTGATAACCATTAATCTGCCCTTCAATGTTGACCATTTTCTGGATCTTCGTCCGTCGAATATCCAACCTAAAACTAAATTCACCGCGGTATTGCGGGCAGAGCGCTCCAGCTGCACCGTTCAGGATCCCAGCATCTGCATGTAAACGCACGATGGCGCACACAGCAGCAAGCTCAGACAGCGATGACAGTTTAATGTTGAACGTGTCTGAGAGCTCATATGAGGCTATGTTGTATCTGTTAGAAGTTTAGGAATTAGGTTGGTCAATATGGGCGATCATACGGTCATGTAGCCAGTGGTGGACTGGGACTAAAAATCATCCCGGGACTCTCGACCGGCCCACTTCGGTACAACTAGTAAATTGTCAACGGAGCGAGTGGGGGATGTGCTAGTGACTTATCCGACCGGCCCACTTCGGTACCGGCCCATCGGGATTCGTCCCGATCAGTCCGCCACTGCACCCAGCCCTGCCCACGTAAACTGTCAACGGGGGGAGCTTCGCTGCGGGGAAACGGTGGACCTAGTGTCCCGATCGGAGTGGGAATAATAATAATAATCCATGCATTTTATCCATTAATTTCCCCAACATTGTGGTAAAAAAAAACACACGTTTAATCCATGTTGGTGTACTACAACTACAAAAAGCATCGGTTTGTTTTCTCATCAGGAAATGCAGACCGGCTCAAACAAACAATTTTTAAATCATCATCCTCACGATCATTTAATGTATCATATGTTCGCCGAATTGACATGAAAGCACTAATAAATGTAGTTTCATCAACTTGAGTTTACAACTACAAAAATAATCGATTTGTTTTTATATCACATCCGACGGGAGGAAATTCAGCAGCTCTCACTACCGATTTTTAATCCTAATTTAATCATCATCTTCACCACGATCATTTATGTTTATGTTGAATATATTGTAGTCAACTTCATTAAAACGTTATTAACGTGCCTTAACTCAGTAATTCACCATTTCTACGCATGACAACACACTTTGTCCGTGTTTGGCTCTCTCGCCGCACAGTGAAGCGTTTCCGCATT